AGTTGAAGATGTTTCCTGTTTAGTTTCATAGTTGGCCATAGAACTCCCAGAACTACTATCCCTCAGTTTCAAAGCCAAAGATTCATCCCAGTTTAGGTTGTTTATTACAATCAATTGGGTGACTGCTGTTTACATGTTAGCCTCGTTCATATCTTAGTATGATCACAGTACCATGCACCTTTGACTTACCACACTTGAGTGTCTTATGTACGCACTCTGTGAGCGCATTTGACAATAAATAGGGTGTGCTTAATATCCCTGAAATTCTATTGTTTAGCAAAGAGATATTAATGAATACTCCTTTGCTTTGTTTTCTGAAAATGGTCTAATTAATTAGAGGAAATTCCATATACATTCATGTATGCGGCTGTTTTGTGAGATGGTGATAATTCTAATAGGAAAAGTGTAGTTCTTTGATTTAAGTAGAACTAATTGTTTGCGCTTTTGAATGTAGGCAGGATCTGCTGACATTGGTCCATCTGATATATACGGTAGAGGAAGAGAAAATACCATATGGGGCATTTCCCTTATGGTTGGTTATCTTGGGTATTAACATGAACCCTCTCTTTATTAGATGGTTATGATTTGTCAAAAAAGAATTTGTTGCTAGCTGATGAGATGAACAGACTAAATCCACTTCTACCAATTCAAAAATATTAATATATACCTATTTTACCAAAAATGTGCCATCAAACTTTATCTCCATGTCTTGATGTTTAGTTGCTAGGGTAACAATAATTTATGATACCAACGCAGCTCCAATATGTTAATTGCTTACAATGAATTAATGCTCCTTTACAGAAGCAAACCATAACAAAACTAGTAGTTTAAAGTTTTTCTCCTTGCAATTGATTATGAGTGCAGCACTGGCAGTGTGGGTGATTTTTCTTTTGTCTATTTTTCTTTTCTTTACCTTTTACAGCGTATAGCAATAACACTGAGAATTTGACCAATAAAAAAGAACCGATGAAATTGGGAATATTTGAAACAAGATACTTGGAACCAAAAATTTATAGATTTAAGATGCTGCTTTCTTTGCCTAATAGGTTTGATGGATTTACAAGCACGTTCCAAGATAAGCTATTTAAGGGCTATGATATGGAGATACACAATCAAATATTTTACACCACATTCTGTTCTTGTGTTCTCAGCCTTACAGGTAATATTCTTATTCAGATCTTGTTGCTCCATAAGTAGTTATTAATCACACAGAGAGATATTTCGTAGCGGGGTTGTCTATGCTTCATATTGCTTACCAGGATTCAGTGTTCATATGTTGTCACAATTTATGTTGCGGATTTCATATCATTATCTTGCCTTTAATCCAACTTCAAAGTTATCCAAGCATGTGTTTGTGTGTTCACTGAAGGTTGTGAGTATTACTACTATGTGTGTACTAGGTACCGCATGAGCCACTGGTTGATCACTGGTTCAATGGTGTTTGAATATTTTTTCAGTTGCTTAAACTTATCTGCACTTACCAGCTGCTTTATATTTTTTTTATTTTTTTATTTTTTTATTTTTAACCTTTTAGCGATGAGTTGTTGATTCTGTTAAATTTTCAGGTCTTCTACTACAAGGGCAACTTCTGCCAGCAATTCATTTTGTTTCTTCCCACAATGATTGTTTCTTTGACATTGCATTGCTTTCCACTGTAAGAGATTTTTCCTTCTTATCATGGTATCTGTTAATGTTAAGTGTTTAATTACTTTGTATTTATTTAGCAGATGCTTCTAATTTTTTTTAGTGCTAGTGGCCGTTGTTTAAGTTTTTCTCTTTCCCACCGTGCCAAATTTTTTCTTTCTCTTGTCGTGTCTTCTCATCTGTCTGTTGGTTTCCTTTTCTTTTCCTTCCTGATTTGTAAGTGTTTTGTGTTGCAGGTAGCAACAGCGAGCCAGTTTTTTATTTCTTACACAATTCGCACTTTTGGTGCTCTCACATTTGCCACAATAATGACCACAAGACAGGTAAGTCATATCTCTCCAAACTAATCCTTGTAAGCGTTCCCACTTCTCCGTTATTAGTGCTTCTAATTAGTGGTGTCTCTCTCTTTGGTATTGAAGCTGGCCAGCATTATGCTATCGTGCCTGTGGTTTTCGCACCCCCTTAGCCGGGAACAGTGGTTGGGAGCTGTAAGCCTCAACCTCAAACGCAGTAATTTTTGTATTTCTGTTTTGTTTCCCCAAATCCCAAATAACGCTACTTTTGTTACAATGACCAGGTTGTTGTCTTTGGTTCCCTATATGCGAAAAGCTTCATGAGAACGAAGCCTTCACCTTCCCAACAAACTCAGAATGGAGCTTCGAGTCCAGTGAAGGGGATCCCTTGATAGTGTTTGGGTTTTAACGGTTGCCACAATACGTCGGACTAGGTACCTACCTCTAACTTTGACCAATGGGCAGCTTTGGTTTTACAAATGTCAAGCTGCAACCTGCGAACAGGCCTTCGATGCATTGAAATTTTTCTAAATATACTCTAGCTCACACACACGCCACACGCAAGAGGTCTCGATGGAGACCAAAGATTCCTGGAGGCCTACGTCTCCATAGAAATGATTAATCATAGACTAACTAAAGGAACAAGAATGTTTCGTTTTATTCTTACATACGTGTTGGAATACACGGCTCAAAAATGTATAACGCAGCTGCGCAAGCAACATTTCAGTCGAGAGTAGGAATGGAAGAACAAAAGAGAAGAAAGTTTTGGATAATTCCACTCTGGAGTATTTTCTTCTCTTCTTCCTTTTAATGATTTTTCTCTTCCTGTAACCCCCAGCTTGATTAGGATTGTAATAATTGGTTTACTGTTTCAATTAAATGATTTTTGGTGGTTGTTTTGGTTTCGTATTGTGATTAACGTATCTTAATTCTCCCAAGGGAAGCTTCAGAAAGATCTGAGAAGTTGGATTTCATCGGTGTTGTGTGTGCATATTGTTTTATTGTTTTTCAGGAAACATATGTATATTTAGGGGAAGGAATAGAAAAACAAAGTAGATTGTAATAATCACAATATCAGGTTCGGCTATAATGTTACGTCTCACAACACATTGATAACAAACTAATCCCCGCCTAATTTAGCCCTAGGTACTACATGAGGCGGCAGTGTACTTTGACATTATGCCAAATCAACGCCAGTGTCCCCAAAAAAATGCATCGCTGGGATAAATAAATATTCTTCAATCCATCTAGTATAAGCAAATGATGCTTTGTCGCAATCGCGGCAAAAAATAATGTCTACACACTTTGGTGCAGTTTCAATCTTAATCTCATCTCTCTTAACATGTAACAATTTAAAGAAAATCTACAACAAATAAATTTGACCAAATTTTGCAAGTATATTTTCTATTTGATTATCGATGGACCGGATTAGTAAAGATATGAACGTCGGCCGGTAAAGGGTTCGGGGGATGGGTTTTACTGTCTATGTTACATATAATAAAAGTGTAAAACATTGAACAACTTAGTGGCTGTAGTTTAGTGGTAAGAATTCCACGTTGTGGCCGTGGAGACCTGGGCTCGAATCCCAGCAGCCACACACATTTTTATTGTTTTTTCTTTTGATTTTTTTTTTCTAACATTTTCCCATTTTAAGGAACGATTATTTGTATTAATAATAAAAAGAGTTGTAATTTCCATTCATCTAAACTCTAATAATAATAATTACGTTGCTTTGTAACTCTCTAACAACATGCTGATTAAAATCTGAGTTGTCCTGATATCTCTATATGCATTTTACGTATGACTTTAATTTCTAATTTTAAGTATTATTAATATAATAATAATTACGTTGCTTTGTAACTCTCTAACAACATGCTGATTAAAATCTGAGTTGTCCTGATATCTCTATATGTATTTTACGTGTGACTTTAAATTTCTAATTTTAAGTATTGTTAATTTTAGGAGCTCTTACGTAAGACCTTAATTTTTTTTTTTTACAATACTTGGATGACAATCCATGGTACTTCCTCTTAAAAAAATCACATCCTAATCTCATATCCATAAGGAATATATTCCCAACTTTTGATGTTTTTATTTGCATTTTAAAATTCTTTTTAAACTCTTTACAAGCATCTTATAAAATAAAACAAAATCAATTATCTTGTAGTAGTACTTTTTTCTTGTAATGTTAAAAAAGGTCTTATGAGTTACAATACAAATATAATACGAGCACGATTGTATAATACAAGCATGTGCTTAATATTTTATTTATTTGGGCTGTTAGCTTCGATTTAAAATGAAGGCATGAAAAAGATAAACTATTCTTTTTTATGACAATAATAATTATTAATATAGTTTATTTTTTTATTTTTTTATTTTTTTTATTTTTACAAATTATAATGTTGTGGATTAATTTATAAAAAGCTATTGTTTTAAAAATAAAATAAAATAATGTAGTGAAGACAAATATGTTGTTTTAAAAAGTTGGTCTCCATATTACCTTAAAAATAGATTATCTTGTAATACAAACTATCCTCTAATCGTACTTAAATACTTCACAGATAATCCACCCTCATCCCAAATCAAAGTTGCAGAGAACTAGAGGGACTCCAAGTACCAATTTAATTACATCTTACTTATCCTGAATTTCATCCGAATTAACCCATAATCCTTTCTCTAATCATATTCTAACACATAATAATTAATGAAAATCCGCAAACCCACGCTCTTTCTCATTATTTATTCATTTACTACGTTTATTTGAAGTGGTCTTGGACCGTCTTGGTCCCGAGACCACTTTAGTTCTCTGTACATCTGTCACTCAATGCAACTATTTGTGAGAACAAAGCGAAAAAATCGAAAAATTGTAGAGTTTTATTAAACTAAAATCTTCCAACTAATGTTAAGATTGAAATATGAAATAGAATCACATTATCTATCTAATTAAAATCCAATCAAATATTTTAGACATAACAGTAGATATATCGACAAGAAAGCAAGATTATATCCAATCTAATCTTCTTTTAATCATGGAAATTGATCAGATTATCCTTTTTTTTTATCCTTAATCCAATCCGAACTCACATTCCCTCTCCTCATCAGATTCTACCTCCTTCCTCCTCCCTCCCTACTCTCTCTCCAACTGACTGTCGTACCTCCAAACCCGCTCAATCCCCCTATATATACACCCCCCAACACACGCCTTCCTCACCGCTCGATCGCATTCAATCATTCAATCAGTCAATCACTTTTCTCTCGTCTTTGGGTTTTGGGTTTTTCTGGGTTCGTGAAAAGAATCGCAAAGAATGGAGCTTGATCTTTCACCCAAGTTGGCCAAGAAGGTGTACGGCGGCGATGGTGGCTCCTACTTTGCCTGGTCACCGTCGGAGCTTCCCATGCTCCGTGAAGGTAACATCGGCGCCGCCAAGCTCGCTCTGGAAAAGGACGGGTTCGCTCTTCCCAAGTACTCTGATTCCAATCAGGTCGCTTATGTCCTCCAAGGTATACAATCTTCTTTTTTGTTCTTGCGATTAATAATTAATTATCTATTTTTTATGATCGGATTGATCTTATTTGTTTATTTGATTGTTTGTTTGCTTCTGGATCATGAATTTTATATGTGAATAGTCCATAATTTATCATTAAGATCATAGGGCTTAAATTAATTTTTTTATATTTTCTTGATTATCTTTGTGAATCATGAAATTCGTAGATGAACTGTGATTAACTTTTTGATCAAATAAGATAATGTGGGTTTTAATTTGTTAATTGTAACTTTTATTTTCTGGGATTAAGATCATCGGAGCTTGTTCTAATCATTATGTTTTAACTTTTGGTTTTTCTTACAAATTTTAATTACCTTCTGTATATATATCCTTTTAGGCACTGGTGCAGTTGGAATTGTCCTGCCTGAGAAGGAAGAGAAGGTTCTTCCAGTTAAGAAGGGTGATGCCATTGCCCTCCCTTTCGGAGTTGTCACTTGGTGGTACAACAAGGAGGACACTGAGTTCGTTGTTCTTTTCTTGGGCGACACTTCAAAAGCTCACAAGACGGGTGAGTTTACCGACTTCTATCTCAATGGCTCCAACGCCATTTTCACTGGCTTCTCAACTGAGTTTGTTGGTCGGGCATGGGATTTGGAGGAGAGTGTTGTGAAGACTCTTGTTGGCAAGCAATCCGGCAAGGGCATTGTCAAGTTGAGCGGAGTTACCTTGCCCGAGCCAAAGAAGGAACACCGTGATGGTATGACATTGAACTGCGAAGAGGCTCCCCTGGATGTTGACATTAAGGGTGGTGGAAGAGTTGTGGTCTTGAATACCAAAAACCTTCCTTTGGTCGGTGAGGTTGGGCTTGGTGCTGACCTTGTGAGGTTGGACGGAAGTGCCATGTGCTCCCCTGGATTTTCTTGCGACTCGGCTCTCCAGGTGACTTATATCATTAGGGGCAGTGGCCGTGTCCAGGTTGTTGGTGTTGACGGTAAGAGGGTGCTGGAAACTACTATTAAAGCCGGTAATCTCTTCATCGTTCCTAGGTTCTTTGTTGTGTCAAAGATTGCTGATCCAGAGGGCTTGGAATGGTTTTCTATCATCACTACTCCCAAGTAAGTTTTTCTTCCTTACATTATCCGATATGTTCTGTGTTGCTTTACCTGCCCCTAATCTGCTTTTTTTTCGTCTTGCATAATTACGCTTTCGTTATTCTTGATTTAGGCTCAGCTAGTTGAATTATAGTTTCCTCTGCATTTATAACATCCTGCTGCTTGGAACACACATATACATTTATTCCCACCACACACAGAAAACTTAATTCGAGAGAGTTGACAATGTTTTGCACCAGAAGTTTATCGATTGGTGTTGAATGTTATGCTAATTCATTTAATTACTTCGCTGCAGCCCGATATTCACCCACTTGGCTGGAAGCATTGGGTGCTGGAAGGCTCTATCTCCTCAGGTGCTCCAGGCTGCGTTCAACGTGGATTCGGAAACAGAGAAACTTTTCCGTTCGAAGAGGACTTCTGATGCAATCTTCTTCCCTCCACCCAAGTGAAAACTGATTGAGCTCAGGCCTAGTTCCCTGGTCCAGAGTCTTCAGACTCCAAATAAAATTGCTTTTTGCTCGTAGGATTTCTGCCTTTTAATTTTACAATCTTCTTTTCTAGTTGTATAGTTTAGGAGCTGCCATATTTGGTATAAAAATTTCTTGCTCTAATTAATTCAGATGGTTTTGCATGTTGGATGTCGTTGATGTTGATATTATCGTGGATTGACAAACAATGATCTTGATATTACATGAACTCGAAGGCTTGGTAGGAACGCTACTTAATACTACGGTTTCTTCACTTGTAAATTTGAGATTTTAAGTTCGATTCTCGTCGAAGTTAAATTCCAACCAAAATTTTATGGTTAGCCCAAAAAGCCCAAAAGCAAATTCGAATTGTAAATTAAATTAGTATATCGCTTGTAGTAAAAGCACAAATCGAAAAACCAAAGAAATGCTCAATATTCGATAATATTTACAAGTGCAATTCAAATTATACAACGCAGCTACAGTTACGGTGCTGAAAGGCGTTTCTATTGCTCCCATTCCCTCTTCAAACAAAATAACTTGTCTCTGCGTTTCCGTGAAAGCTAAAAACAAATCGACAGTGAGAAACTCGGTCGGATTAATAAGCCAATTGGAAAAGCGCTTTTTCAAAAAGCACGGCGCCACTCGAATTGCGAAAGAAATGGCACCCTTGAAATCTCTGGAGGCAGAGCACCCAGTAATCGACTCCAATTTCCAGACCTTTTGCGCCTCCCATGGCATCTTCTCAGGTGGGTTCCATAATTCCGCTCCATCAATTTCAAAATTTGCTTCAGTCCCAGTAAAAGCACCTAACTTTATATCTGGGGCCTCTTGATTTTGGCACCCAAAAGAGAAAATGAAGAACCCAATTTGAATTTTGTGAAATTTTTTGGTGCAGTGGAAGAATTCCTCATTCATGACCTCGATGAATTAGCAGGTGCTGCTCAGCAACATCCCACATGTGAAAAGCTAAAGCAGGTTTTTCCCATAAGCACTTTTGTTAGTCATCACAGCTTCATGTTTTCTGCTTATAAATCCACATTCAATTTAATTAATTATATCATGTATGTGATGGGTTAAGCAGGGAATCACTGAGGTCCTCTCTACCATTGATTCTCAGCACCAGCCATGGTTGAATGGTATGGAGCTTTTAGATGATGTTTTGCATAACAAACATGTATTATCAACTGGGTGTGAAGGGTATGCTTTTTGATTAGCCAAAACACACTGACCTATTCCTTTTCACTGCTATTAGTAATACTCATTGTAATGTTTCTTGGATTGTTGTGAAACCAGGATTGATTTGTTACTCGGAGGCGGATTGCGTGAGGGACAGGTAACTGAACTTGTTGGTCCGTCTACCTCTGGTAAAACCCAAGTAAGTAAATCATGTTTCCCAGCAATTACATAAGTTGGTGAAGGCAATGATTTCAAATTTTCAGTTTACACGTCACAATTTGTTTTTTCATTGCTTATGCAGACCGTGTTGCGCCTACTTTGTAATCAATAGTTCAATGGTTTCTTTGTAGTGATACCATGAGTAACTGTATGATATTTGTAGCGTTTACATCTCAAAATTATATTCAAATTCTTGGTAATGTTCAGGTTTGCCTACTATCTGCTGCAAATGTTGCAACGAAGCACATGGGTACTGTTGTCTACCTGGACACAGGAAACTCGTTCTCACCTGAACGAATTGTGCATTTTGTTGGTGATATCTCTAACCATGCCTTTGATCAGGTCACCCCATCACTTTGAATAAATTTTCTGTGTTTTGTTTGTTTTAGCTAGCCGTTTTACCCTAGTGAACTACTAAATTCTCTGATTTGTCCGGACTGAATTTATCTGTAGGCTGGACAAAGAGTTTTTCAGAAAGTAATGAACAACATTTTATGCCATCATGTGTTTGACATTTTTACAATGTTCAATCTCTTACACCAGCTAGAGTTCAGTTTGCCATCTCAGGTTGACATTACCATGAGGCATTTCCTTTCCCATTTATAGAGTTCCTATTTCCCTATTTATTGAACATATGTACCAGTTCCAGATGCAGAAAGGAGAGCAGGTGCGGTTGCTTATTGTTGATTCGATCTCTTCACTAATCACCCCGATTCTTGGGAACAGTGGTTCACAGGGTATATATCATTGTATGCAAATAACAGTTTTCTTCAGTTTGTTGTTTGCTTCAATTTATATTTATGATGTTTTCCCATAATTAAGAAAAGGGAAGGTTCACCTTGGTAGGTATATGACATGTTTCGAAGTTTTATTTGTTCATTCATACAACCGAAAAATGTCGTATTTAACTTGTTAAGATGGGAGCTGATTTATTGATGCTTGGGAAATAATTACAGGGCGTGCTTTGATGATATCTGCTGGATATCTGTTAAAGAAGTTAGCACACGAGCATAATCTTGCAGTACTGGTAAGTTTTCATTGGATACACGATGTGTAGAATTCTCAGCTTTACATAATCTTTCACTTTTAGTGAATTACTTTCTTACTAAAATCAACCTAGAGAAGCTGTCATTCTACAAATTATTTTTAGCTGTAGTAAGTATGATGTTGTTATATAATTTATAGTTTGGATCAGTTCTTTGTCACTTCAAGCTTATTTGCATCCCTGTTATCGTTTTTTTTTTTGGTCTTAATATTAATTAAATGTGAGAGAAAAATATTTGAATTGAAATCAAGTTCATGCTTTCAAACATGACAAACATTTCATTTGAAAGGGTTTAATGGATTAAATGTGAAGGTGACCAATCACACGGTGGGTGGGGAGAAAGGTATTCCAAAACCAGCTCTTGGACAGACCTGGAAGAGCATTCCACATGTGAGGCTTCTGCTTTCCGGTGATCAGGGAAATAGTACCCGGACTATTTCTGTGCTAAGACACTCATCTATGGTACACTTGGTTATGATTGTGACGCATTTACTAATAAAATCACTTTGCTGTACGACTTTACTATCATTACTCGTGTCTCTTGCTCCATCCCTCCCATATAGTTCCTTCTTTTTCAGTTTCCGTTCAGAGCTGAAGCATGCTCCTACCACAGTTAACATTACTTCCAATGTAGTTCCATAACTTCTTATTGTTCCTTTTTCTTTCTCAGGCTTCTGGCAAGTCTACAAGGTTTACAATTTAGGAGTGCACGGTAGATTTAACTTATACTTGCCGCTCCTACACGAAAAGGTAGGAAGAGTGGATCATGTAGATAACTGAAGGTGCTCTATACGAAGATACTGTTAACAAATTTAAGAAGAGTGCTTTCTTTATAAGTTCGAGATTCTGAGATTTGGGATAGATTTCTTCAGATTGCAATTTTTTACTGACTACAGGGAAATAGATATAAGTTTATTATCTTTTGTGTGTACTTTAGCAGTTTATGGTGTTTGTGAAGTTAAAGGAACTAGTCACCAACATTTTGTTTGAATGAGAAAATTACATTATGTATTTTTCGGTTTATTTTTCGTTGTAGTTTTGTTTTAATTTGAGAGCATAACCGGAAGTTTATAGAAAAAGGGTGTGGAAAGATGATCAACTGAGGGAAGGAAGCACGCTCGATGACGGCCGAAAGAAACCTTTTTCATGTACAAGGTGGTAGTCCAGCACAATGTGGCGAGTTTGGGCATGTAAAACGGGGTTCTAAGCCATATACGTAGTGCTGTAAGTTGTACAGCATCGCCAAGATTATACAGAAGGGAAAGGAGCCAAGACATCCCAGCAGACATGACCCAATCAGCGATACTCCGACTTGGCGCTCGATTGGGAAACTGTAGGTTGCTTCTAAGATCACCTAAGATATCAAGTTCGTTCTTAAATAAACGAGATAGCAAGAAGCAAGAGGCTCGTAGGAGAATGCTGAGATGCGATAAGGATTCCCGAAAATAAACTTTTGCAGTGGGATGGAGATTGAGAAATTAGGGTTAGGTGGCAAAAGTTTGGTGTAAATATTAGATGGCACAAGTTGGGTGAAAAATTAGAGGAAAAAGTTGGATTTGGATCTTCGGATCCTAAAGATCAATGCACAGGGACCATTGATAAAAAATCGTACGGTCCAAATTAAATACTTTTTATATTTTTAAAAGTAAAGTAATCTCGTTTTGTGTAAAGAATATAAAAAAAGAAAAAATTACGACCGCATGATTTTTTATTAACAGTCCGTGTGCGTTGATCTCTATGATCCGGCAGGGGATCCGGTGAGGATCCAATTCCGAAAAGTTAGCCGAAACTAACCATGTTTTGGGTGACTACTGTAGGTGAAAAATCAGATGGCACACGTTAGGTGAAAAAATTAGAGGAAAATTAGAGGGAAAAGTTAGGTGGCTGATTGGGTGACTACCGTACGACTTTGTATTTGTTCAATCATATATAATGGGTGACTACTGTACAACTTGGTATTTGTTCAATCATATATAATGGGTGACTACTGTAGGACTTTGTATTTGTTTAATCATATAAACTTTTTGGACAGTGAAGATGATTACTTTATGCACATATAAGATAATGACCATGTTTTCGAAAACAACTTGTAAACCATTCTTCCTCTAGCAAGGAGAAGCCATGGCAGTCGTTGAGCTCCTCTCCCTCTTCTCGGTTCTCTTCATCGTGTTTCTTCTTCTCCGATCCCTCTCTGCCTCCAAATCCCAAACCCTACTCCCTCCAGGCCCCTTTGCCCTACCCATCATCGGCCACTTCCACCTCCTCAGCCCTCTCATCCACCAATCCTTCTACAAACTCTCCCTCCAGTTCGGCCCTTTATTCTCTCTCCGCCTTGGCTCCGTCCCATGCATCGTCATTTCTTCCCCAGACCTCGCGAAAGAGTCCCTCAAGACCCACGAGCTCTCCTTCATATCCCGCTCTCAGTCCATGGCCATTCAGCGCCTCACCTACAACTCCTCCCTTGCATTTGGACCCTATGACCCTTATTATAAATTCATCAAGAAGCTCAGCCTGAATGAGTTTCTAAGCAGCCGTAGCGTCAGCAACTTCGCTTCTATTCGAACCCAAGAGTACCTAAGGCTTTTTAGGCTGTTGGCCAAGAAAGCTGAGAGTGGTGAAGCTGTTAATCTCACCGAGGAGTTACCAAAGCTTTCCAACAATGTGATCGCAAAAATGATGTTGGGGAATTCTAAGGGGTCTAGTGCTGAAGGCAGAGACGAGGAGGCTAGGCTTGTGGTGAGAGAGGTAACTAGGATTTTTGGGGAGTTTAACTTGTCAGATTTTGTTTGGTTTTGCAAGAAGTTGGATTTGCAGGGATTTGGGAAGAGAATTGAAGACACTCATCGGAGATTCGACGCGTTGGTGGAGAAGGTTATTTCAGAACGTGAAAAACTGAGAAAGAAAAACATGAAAAATGAAGGAGGCAGTGGTGGCGAGGAGGTGAAGGATTTTCTTGACATTTTGCTTGATATACTGGAAAAAGGGAGTGCTGAGAGTGAGGGGGTGGAATTTACAAGAGTGCACATCAAGGCTTTAGTCATGGTACGTAAAAATTCTTTTTCGTATGACTTTCATTTCAATTACATTAAATAAAGGTCAACTTATGGGGATATGTTATTGAAACAACAAATAGAAATGCTAAAGTAAGAATCTCTATGAACTTCTGCCTTTTTTTGTGCACAATATTTTTGAATGTTGCCACAAAAGTTTTGCACAATATTTTATAACACCCCCTTCTCTCCTAAGTTTTGTACCGGATCATGAATGTCTGGCAATGATGGATTCAAATTCTCTCTCTCTCTCTCTCTCTCTCTCTCTCTCTCTCTCTCTCTCTCTATATATATATATATGTCTTCCCCTTTTCTCTGTTGCATCCACACCTGTTCTTATTAAGAACAATTGCACAGAGACGAGGCCTCGTCTTTTTGCTCACAAGGTCTCCTTCCTCCGGCTGCTCTCCGATGACTGTGTGGTTGAAATCAAGGAAGTTGGCACGAAAATTATGCATGAAGTTAATTTTGTTTATAAAATTTTCATATTAAAGTGGGTGAGGAAACTTTTGGGAGAGACAGGTATAACATGGCTCACTGACCTTTTCAATAGGATTTTGAAAACGAAGAAGATGCCAAATGAGTGGCGAATGAGCACTTTGGTGCCTATCTACAAGAATAAGGGCGACGTACAAAATTGCATGAACTATAGGGGTATTAAGCTAATGAGTCATACAATGAAGCTCTGGGAGAGAGTCATTGAGCATAGATTAAGGCAAGAGACACGGGTTTCGGACAACCAATTCGGTTTCATGCCAGGGCGCTCAACCATGGAGGCAATCTATCTCTTACGAAGATTGATGGAAAGATATAGAGATGGGAAAAAGGATTTACACATGGTCTTTATAGATTTGGAAAAAGCGTATGATAGGGTCCCAAGAGACATTCTTTGGAGGATTTTAGAGAAGAAAGGAGTACGAGTAGCATATATCCAAGCTATAAAGGATATGTATGAAGGAGCAAAGACTGCCGTAAGAACTCATGAAGGACAAACCGAAAGCTTTCCCATAACTGTAGGATTACATCAAGGCTCATCCTTAAGTCCTTACCTTTTTTGCGTTGGTAATGGATGAGTTAACACGACATATTCAAGATGATATTCCTTGGTGTATGCTTTTCGCAGACGATATAGTGTTGATAGATGAAACTCAGGAAGGGGTAAATGCAAAGCTTAACCTTTGGAGAGAAGTGTTGGAATCTAAAGGTCTTCGCCTAAGCCGATCAAAGACAGAATATATGGAGTGCAAGTTCAGTGCAAATGGAGGCCAAAACGAGTTAGGGGTGAGGATCGGAGATCAAGAAATACCAAAGAGCGACCGTTTTCGTTACCTAGGATCTATCTTGCAAAAGAACGGAGAATTAGATGGAGATCTCAACCATAGAATACAAGCTGGATGGATGAAGTGGAAGAGTGCATCCGGCGTGTTGTGTGACCGCCGTATGCCACTGAAGCTCAAGGGAAAATTTTATAGGACGGCAATAAGGCCGGCGATGCTGTATGGCACAGAATGTTGGGCGGTGAAACATCAACACGTACACAAAATGGGTGTAGCGGAGATGAGGATGCTTCGTTGGATGTGTGGGCACACGAGAAAGGAAAAGATTAGGAATGAGGATATCCGGGGTAAAGTAGGAGTAGCCGAAATTGAAGGAAAGATGAGAGAAAATCGGTTACGGTGGTTTGGACATGTGCAAAGAAGGCCTACTGACGTTCCGATTAGAAGATGCGACTATGGGACAGAGGTGCAGGGCCGAAGGGGTAGAGGAAGACCTAGGAAAACTTTGGAAGAGACTCTAAGAAAAGACTTAGAGTACTTGGATCTAACGAAGGACATGACACAGGATCGAGCACAATGGCGTTCTAAGATTCATATAGCCGATCCCACTCAGTGACTTGGATTTTCCAAGTCTCCAACCGAGAAGTTTTCCTCACTTCGGGAAATTAAGGGAACACTACCCCAACCTACATGCTCCACTCAGAAAGCTTCAACATACAAGCTTTAACAAAAGAAAATTCAAAGAACTTAGCGAAGAAGGCTTTGGTGTATTTAACACAATACGTTGAAATGAAGGAAAGCTTATTTATTGATATCCCCGATAAGCTACAAATATGTACATATACATGAGTCAAAATAAACACACAAGAGGGAGCCTTCACAAAGGTTGCTTAGGAGAAGTCTCAGCAGTCGGTAGAGCCCCAGAAAGAGAAGGCACCGGAGGGGGATCATTTGGAGCCTCAGTACTGGACAGAACCCTAGAAGGAGGAGGCATCAGAGGTTGATCATTTGGAGCTTCATTACGCGGTACAGCCCCAGAAGACGAAGGCAATAAATGCCTTTGGAACAAACCCACAAATCTCTGATGATCAAGTAAAACCTGACCATCAGTTTCCTTCATCTGGTCAAGCTTCCTCTTCATGTTTGTAGCATAGTCATGTGCGAGCCGGTGCAACTGTTTATTCTCATGCTTGAGCCCTCTAATCTCCTGTTTGAGACTCATCACTTCAGCCGCCAATGATTCAACTTGGCGGGTTCGAGCAAATAGGCGTTGGGCCATATTAGACACAGAACCTGCACACTGAACACTGAGAGCCAGCGAATCCTTAACAGCTAACTCATCAGACCGTTTGGAAAGTAGTCTGTTATCTTTGGGAGTGAGAAGGTTCCTGGCCACCACCGCAGCGGTCATATCATTCTTCATCACGGAATCCCCAACGGTAAGAGGACCAGTAGGGGAGACGAAGGATGGGCGCCATATGTTGTCTGGAGAAGGCGGGGCTGCCTCTTCAACAAGGTTCAAGTCAAAACGACGGTCGGAGGGGCCAGACATTTTCAAAGGTGTTGAAGAGAGAAGAGGTCGGACAAATCAAGATCTTAGAAGTGCAAGAATGAAGCTTCTACTGGTGGAGATTCAAGTGTGCTTTGGAACTTAATGCCAGCCCCTATAAAAATCTGCACTCGACGAAGCTTCAGAAATCGAAGAGGCGCCTGCTCAGAAATCGAAGAGGCGTTTGCTTTCTCAAAAGCTGGGCTGCTTAGAGATCACGAGGGTTGATCTCAGAAATCGAAGAGGCGTTTGCTTTCTCAAAAGTTGGGCTGCTCAAAGACCACGAAGGCCGATCTCAGAAAATCGAAGAGGCGCTCGCTTTCTCAAAAGCTGGGCTCCCCAGAGACCACGAGGGCCGATCTCAGAAATCGAAGAGGCACCTACTTTTCCAGCCTTTTCCAGCCTTGTCAGCACCTGTCACACGCACACTCAGTTTTGCGGAAATTATGGGCATTCTGTCAAAGACTTCTGGGGAAGTAGAAAACACATGAATCTTACTGTTCAATCACCCACTTCCCACACACGCAACAATAGCTCATGGGTACCACAGATAACTTTGCCAAAGTTCTCTGCCAAAGTTGAGCACGTGAAGCTTGCAGCTCCCACTACATCGCTCTGACCAAGAAGGGTAAAAGAATAGCAAAAAAGAAACAGCACTAACAAAGTTTAGACCCATAAATTTTGAAGGTCTAGCTACCATATTATTACCCACAAGGGTAAAGGAACAGTACCACTGCTGGATAATTGGAAAAGTCCCTGTGTGTGTCAACCTCTGTGCTTCGTGGCAAGGTAGACTAGCAAACATGCCCAACCTTTACTCACATTCGAGAAAACACTCCCAATAAGATTGCTTGCTCCAAAATCGAAGAGGCACCGTCCTCCGAATCTCGAGAGCCAGACTCCCAACATGACTACTTTTCTTAAAAAATCGAAGAGAGGGTAAAGGAACAGTACCATTGCTGGATAATTGGAAAGTTCCTGTGTGTCAACCTCTGTGCTTCGTGGCAAGGTAGACTAGCAAACATGCCCAACCTTTACTCACATTCGAGAAAACACTCCCAACAAGATTGCTTGCTCCAAAATCGAAGAGGCACCGCCCTCCGAATCTCGAGAGCCAGACTCCCAACATGATTACTTTCTCAAAAATCGAAGAGACACTGCTCCCCGAATCTCGAGAGCCAGACCCCCAGCATGATTGCTTTCTCAAAAATCGATGAGGCATCGTTCTCCGAATCAATCGAAGAGGCGCTCGCTTTCTCAAAAGCTGGGCTGCTCAGAGACCACGAGGGCCGATCTCTCAGAAATCGAAGAGGCACCTACTTTTCTAGCCTTGTCAAGCACCTGTCACACGCACACTCAGCTTTGCAGAAATTATGGGCATTCTGTCGAAGACTTCTGGTGAAGTAGAAAGCACATGAATCTTACTGTTCAATCACCCACTTCCCACACGCAACAATAGCTCATGGGTACCACAAATAACTTTGCCAAAGTTCTCTGCCAAAGTTGAGCACGTGAAGCTTGCAGCTCCCACTACATCGCTCTGACCAAGAAAGGTAAAAGAATAGCAAAGAAACAGCACTAACAAAAGTTTAGACACATAAATTTTGAAGGTCTAGCTACCATATTATTACCCACAACTGGTAAAGGAACAGTACCACTGCTGGATAATTGGAAAGTCCCTGTGTGTCAACCTCTGTGCTTCGTGGCAAGGTAGACTAGCAAACATGCCCAACCTTTACTCACATTCGAGAAAACACTCCCAATAAGATTGCTTGCTCCAAAATCGAAGAGGCACCGTCCTCCGAATCTCGAGAGCCAGACTCCCAACATGACTACTTTCTCAAAATCGAAGAGAGGGTAAAGGAACAGTACCATTGCTGGATAATTGGAAAGTCCCTGTGTGTCAACCTTTGTGCTTCGTGGCAAGGTAGACTAGCAAACATGCCCAACCTTTACTCACATTCGAGACAACACTCCCAACAAGATTGCTTGCTCCAAAATCGAAGAGGCACCACCCTCCGAATCTCGAGAGCCAGACTCCCAACATGATTACTTCCTCAAAAATCGAAGAGACACTGCTCTCCGAATCTCGAGAGTCAGACCCCCAGCATGATTGCTTTCTCAAAAATCGAAGAGGCATCGTTCTCCGAATCTCGAGAGCCAGATACCACAGACCACTTTTTCAAAAGTGCTCTGACAGAGTTAAAACATGTGAAACTGGCAGCTCCCACTACCGTGCTATGACCAAGCAGGGTAAAGGAATAGCATTACTACTTGTTGTTAGGGAGACTCCTATATATGTCGACCTCCATCCCCAACGGACAGGCAGACCTGCAAAAATGCTCAACCCTTCATCATATCTGAGAGGGCACTCCCAACGAAGCCTTTCGAAATATTCAGCTTTCTTTCCCCCCGATAATACCTCTGCAAAACAAGCTATACTAGAGCAAGAATATCTCATATCATCAGGGTTAAAAGCAAGAGTATCCCATATCATGCTTTTTTCCCTGTCTTTTCTTTTGGCCTTGTTTTTACCTGCAAGACAAGGAGAAAGAGAGCAATCAGTCAGCACTTGGAATCAAGCTTCCAGCCAGGAACTGACTGCCTGGAACCCCTTACCTGATTACTTACCTGGCATTGCTCTCGAGTACTCATCTTCAACATCTTATGTTTCCAGGGAAGATTCCGCATCTGCTTGAGGAACAGATAGGGCAAGTGCGAAGGATACAAGGAAGCATGTGGAGACAAGCGTAACAGCACACGTGCCGATACATCCATTACTCTGTCAAAAGCAAAAGTATCCCATATCAGCAGGGTGGAACGTACTCTAGATTTGATGGACTTGTTTTGACCCTCAAATTCTTCAGTCGGCCTTATACTCTGGAGGAAACCAGAAAACCCTCCAGCTCAGTTCAAGAATAAGCCTGTGGAAAGTTACTTCTTCAAAAGCAAAAGTATCTCATATCATCTCTTCTCATTTTTCTTCTCTTTATCCTTCATGCTGCTGCAAGATGGGGAGAAGGTGAACAATCAGTCGGAGCTCTGATTGCTTACCTTGTCTGTCACCTCTTTCAGCAGACCCCCCTAGCTCGGCGACTTGGGGGACTCCTACTACATGGTTTGTATCGCGCTTGACCAAGCCTGAAACTACAAGTAAGCTTCAAGTGAAATTGATACATTACCTTGTGCATCTCCACCAGTTAAAGATACCACCCCTGGATGGAGGAAGAGTACTTCCAGAGAAGATGCCACATCTACCTATGAGACAGATAAGGCAAGTCAAGACGACACCACACTCCGATACTTAGAAGTTTCGTGATTACGAGATCATTCTCCCACAATATTTCCTAATGTCATTTGTACTAAATCATTCACTTGTACTCACTAAAGGAGAGCTTGAACCTATGTACTTGTGTAAACCCTTCACAATTAATGAGAACTCTTCTATTCCGTGACGTAGCCAATCTGGGTGAACCACGTACATCTTGTGTTTGCTTTCCTATCTCTATCCATTTATATACTTATCCACACTAATGACCGGAGCAATCTAGCGAAGATCACAAAAAAGCGACCGTTTTCGCTACCTAGGATCTATCTTGCAAGAGAACGGAGAATTAGATGGAGATCTCAACCATAGAATACGAGCTGGATGGAAAGAGTGCATCCGGCGTGTTGTGTGACCGTCGTAGGCCACTGAAGCTCAAGGGAAAATTTTATAGGACGGCAATAAGGCTAGCGATGTTGTATGGCACAGAATGTTGGGTGGTGAAGCATCAACACGTACACAAAATGGGTGTAGCGGAGATGAGGATGCTTCGTGGGATGTGTGGGCACACGAGAAAGGATAAGATTGGGAATGAGGATATCCGAGGTAAAGTAGGAGTAGCCGAAATTGTAGGAAAGATGAGAGAAAATCGGCTCCGGTGATTTTGAACATGTGCAAAGAAGGCCGACTGACGCTCCGGTTCGAAGATGTGACTACGGGACAGAGGTTCAGGGCCGAAGGGGTAGAGGAAGACCTAGGACAACTTTGGAAGAGACTCTAAGAAAAGACTTAGAGTACTTGGATCTAACGGAGGACATGACACAAAACCGAGCGCAATGGCGTTCTAGGATTCATATAGCCGACCCCACTTAGTGGGAAAAGGCTTTGTTGTTGTTGTTTGTTGTTGAAAGTGGGTGAGGAAATAAGAGAATGAGGGTACGTAGGCATAGCACCAAAGCTTAATTATTTTTCATGAGCCTTTTTCCTATTATTTAGAGCTATATATAACAGATAAGTTACTTAACATGAAAGGGCTTTTAGGAGAATAATGAAATTGGATTTTTCAGGATTTCTTCACGGCAGGTACAGATACAACCGCCATTTCAATGGAGTGGGCACTAGCAGAGCTCATCAACCACCCGAAGGTGCTGGAGAAAGCAAGGGAGGAGATTGATCGAGTCGTTGGGAATAGACGGATAGTCGTAGAATCAGACGGTCCAAGCCTTCCATACATACAAGCCATCATAAAAGAAACACTGAGACTGCACCCACCTGTGCCTATGATCCCAAGAAAGAGTGTACAAAAGTGTAACATTGGAAACTATGTGATCCCAGAAAACACAATGCTATTTGTGAATGCTTGGGCCATCGGAAGGGACCCAAAGTATTGGGAAAATCCTTTGCACTTTTACCCTGAAAGATTCTTAGCACCACTCAGTGGTGGAGGAGATGGAGCGCGTGCATTAGATCTTAGGGGGCAACATTTTCAGCTGCTTCCGTTTGGGACCGGGAGGAGGATATGCCCTGGTATAAACCTAGCCCTGCAAATGCTGCCAGCCCTACTTGGTGCAATGGTTCAATGCTTTGATTGGAAAGTTGTTGGGGTAAATCAGAAGCATATGAACGGTGATGAGGTTCTGGAAATGGATGAACGGCCAGGAATGGCAACTCCACGAGCCCATGATTTGATTTGTATTCCAGTGGTACGTTTTGATCCCGAGTTGTATCCTTGACCCATAAAGCAGGTGAGCATATTGTAATTGTTTGAAGACTTTGATCCAAATGAAGTTTGAGGACTTGAAGTGGGTGTCAAACTTACATGGAAATGGATAAATAACACTACGTTATTTCTATTCCTATTTAAGTTTTCTTTTTCGAAGTACTTTTATGATTAAGGCTTACTTAAGCCTCATGTACATTACATGAAGTCTCACTTTATTTCTACAGTTTGTCATGTCCCACTTTGTTTCCTGCACTTATCCATTATGTTTCACTTTACTCCGTTTCTTTAATTGGGTTAAAGAGACGTTAGTTTCGTTGATTTGACAAAGGCTCTTTGATTTTTTTCAGTCAATTTTTACATTTCGCTCTCAAATTACCATATATTGTCCTTAAAACTCACAATTTCTTCAATCTATCACTATATTCACTGTTGAAAAGATCGAAGGACCCCTACCATATTAATGAAACTGATGCTCAACCCAATTGACGGAATGGGGTACCGTGTGACATGAAAAATAATTACAAAGGATAAAGTGAGACAGAATCAAATGTATGTTGTGAAGCGAAATTTTGTCTAGAGTATATAGGGGTACCAAAAAATAAGCTTTAATAGTAAAATTGGTTATGTAATTAGGGTATACAAGGAAAAATCACATAGGGTGACATGTTACAATGAGAGAGCTATAGCTAAAGGATATTGTTTGGCTCCTTATAATTACATGTATCATAATCAAAATCATTCATTCTTTTAATAATTATCTAAAGATAATCTAAAAAGACAATTATTTTGGTTTGAAGTCCGTTTAGTCATATATATATATATATATATATATATATATATATATATATATATATATAATGTATTCAATGTCAAAATCAAAGATTGATAATATGGCTTGCCATCGTGCAAAAATTTGTTTTGATGCAATGTTTTGAACATCTTTTTGTAAAACATGTTTTGCAGATTTACAATCGACTCTAACAAGAAATTTTTGATTTAATAAATCATCTTGAAATTTACTAATGCATAATACTATAGATAATATTTCTTTCTTAATAGTACTATAGTTAGTTTGAGCGGGATTCCATACACCTGAATGAAAACGAACAATTTGTTCAGGTGATCCGGAAGAAGTTTGCTGCTTGAGAATTCCTCCATAACTAACGTCAGAGGCGTCAGTTTCAACTATCTTAAAAGAGTTGGGAGTTGGAATGCCAAGACAGGGCAAAGTCTTAACATGATTTTTTATCTGTTTGACAATAGAAGTATGGATGGTAGACCAAACAGGGGGATTCTCCTTAAGACGGTCAAACAAAGGTTTACATTGTTGACGCAGATGAGGATAAAATTCTGAAACATAATTCAAAGAACCTAAGAATCTTTGAAGCTGTGATTTTTCAGTAATCTGATCTGGAAATTTATCTGCAAATTGGATGACACGGTCAATTGGTTGGATGGTAGATCTATGGATATTATAACCTAAGAATCTAACCTTAAGTTGAAACAATTTAATCTTAGTGGCTGACACAACTAATCCGTTTGATCTAATGATCCTAGCAAACAAGTGCAAATGTTTCCAATGTTCATCGATAGATTTAGAATAAACGAGAACATCATCAATATAAACAATAGTAAAATGGCTATACTGATTGAAAATCTCATTCATGATATTCTGAAATTCAGATGGTGCATTCTTTAAACCGAAAGGCATAACATTCCATTCATAATGGCCGAAAGGCGTTACGAAAGCAGTTTTATATTTATCAGATTCATGAATTTGAATCTGCCAAAATCCTGATTTCATATCAAACTTTGAGAAAATAGTTGCTTTACTAAGCCTTTTTATTAGATCTCTTTTGTTAGGGATTGGATATCGAATCCATTCCAAAACTTCATTTAAAGGTTTGTAGTTAATAACTAAGCGGGGAGTTCCTCTTTCAATTTCTGCACTTTTCTGTACATAAAATGCAGGACATGACCAAGGCGATTTACTTTTACGGATAATTCCTTTATTAAGAAGATCCTGTATTTCTGCTTTGCAGAAATCCATTACTTCTTGACTCATTTGAATAGGTCTGGCCTTAGTAGGTATTTTTGACTCATTAAATTCTTTGATGTAAAGTAGTTTAACAATATGTTGTTTTCGGTGCCAAAAGGCGTTTGGAATATCAGAACATACTTCCATAACAAGCTGTGCTTCGAATTTAGAGATTTTTTGAGATAAGATCTCTTGTTTGAGTTGTTCTTCAGTTCTTTTATGATGAATATCATCTTTTAAGAATTGAAGATGTTTGGTCTTATTAGAAATTATGTTTAAGGATCGCAAAGTGCTATCCTTCTGGAGGTGTCTAAGTTTTTTGAGGTCTGTTTCTAGGCAGAATTCAAATGTGACTTTCTGTCCTAAGACTTTTGAGGTAATCCTATTATGATGAGTTTTGAATGGATATAAGAGTGCGATAAAAGGTAATCCTAATATGACAGGGTCAGACAAGTTCTTGATTAGAACAAAAGGTGTTTTGAAATAAACTTCATTTTGGCAGACATGTGCCTTAGGAAGTTCATATTTGATTTCCATTGGAGACTCATTAGCAGCACTAAGGATTTCCTTTGATTTGTGGAAATACCTAGTGGGAATTAGTCATTCTTGAATACAATTCAAGTCTGCGCCTGAATCTATCAATGCTATTGTTTCGAAACGAAAATCTTCGATTACTATCGTTACTTTAGAATACCATTTTTGGATTCTAATTTTGTGAAGAAGATTCAGAACTAAGTGTTCTGAAATTTGGTCAGAATCTGACTCAGAATGACTACTGGAAGAAGAGGAACTGAATAGTTCTTCTTTTGGAGGAATATTGACTCTAGTGAGTTGTGTACGAATCTCATGGTTATCAGATTTCAATAGTTTAATTTCATCTTTAATTTTATTAATTTCTTTTTGGAGGTCACTGACTGTGATATCTTTCTTAGTCTTACTAAACTTTGCTAGTGTGGTTCTAAGAGATATTTGTGGTTTTTGGATCTGGGATTGGCTACTACCTACTTATTCTTGGGAGACTAAATCTTTGAGTTTTTTGAGGTAGAACTTTTTGAGTCCAGGGTCCTCAACATTGCTGATTAGTTCTAAGAGTAATTCTTCTTGTTTTTCTTGTTTAGTTATTACTGATATATTTTTACAACAGGCATCAGGACATCCAAGTTTGATGTCTAGGGTAGAATGCTTGCTAGAAGCAGATTGATATGAAGATGATGAGGTAGAACCAAGATCATCTTCGGATGAATGACTATTGTCAATATCCTGGAGTTCTAGGGTTTGAATAAGTTAAAGTTTTTCTTCTTCAGAAATCTTCAACTGGCTTATGAGTTTCTTAACTTTACACTTATTAGCGTAATGACCTTCTTTGCCACATTTGTAGCATTTTCCCTTATGACTATTGTCTTTAGAGTGGAATTTTCCAGAGGATTTTCTCTTTCCTTTCCATTTCTGGGATCTGGGGTGTTCGTAAAACGGGTTTGGTTTGGCATACTTGCCTTTGCTATATTTGGAGTAGTTAGTATGAGGTTTAGAGATCTTAGATCTACGGAAGCTAGTTGATTTTTTCTGGAGGTTGGAAGGAGCTATAGGTGGTAGACCATATTGTTCACAGAATGTTCCTAATTCATATTTGGCTATTGCTTTTTCAGATTGGATTTGTCTAGATATTTTCATATCTATGCACATTTTCAAACCTTCTTTTTGGATAGTACTTATGATATGTCCATAAGTAAGGTTTTCATATGGTATAATACCGTCTTCGTTTATCAAGGTATTCCTTATTTTATGTGCAAAAAGGTTTGGTAAGCCATTTATGAATTTTTCTTTCCAAAATGGTTGATTACTATCATCTCTAAGCATGACTCTTGACAGGAATACATCTTTATACCATCTAAAATCACTTAAGGTAGGACACCTTAAGTTACTTAGTTGGTCATGGACCCTGGATGTGATGTTAGAAGGGATTCCTATGAAGTGTTGTATGATTGTATAGAGTAAGGTATTGATTGCATCTGGGACACCACATCCTAGATGTTCATCGAAGATAGGTATTCCTTCTTCATCCTGTTTTACTGCATATCTAATTAGATTTCGGGATTCCTCAGTAAGGTGTTTCTCCCACCAGGAATGAAGCATTCCTGTGAATCCAGAAACAATGATGTCTACAATTTGGGTTTGACTAAGGTCATGATTAGTAATATAGCTATTTGCTACCATGGAGATATGTTGGAGTTTGTTTAATAACTCTTGTTCTGATAAACCATCTATATTCCATTCATAGAGTTTATCAGATGAAACAGTGAATTGGGATTGGAAATTCCTTTCTTCAAATTGAAGATCAGGAGGTGTTGGTCTGGGATACCAATTTTTAGTTAAGGATGTAGGATTAGTTCTTTTGACGTTAATACGTTTCAATTCAGGACTCTGAAAAGCATTCCATTCCATATGGGGAATGGAATCAACACTTTCATCTTCTGAAGCCAGAATTGAATAAGGTGTTTCTGAATTATGTGGATTATTAATTACACGAACTGATTTTTCCTTTTCAAGCTTACTGAGCATTTGGTCAATCCTACTGGATGTTGAGGTTTTTAAAGAGGGTAACTCTTTAAAACTGGTTAAGGGTATGTCTTTATTAAGAGGTTTGATTGACAAGTTATCAATTTTTGTTTCTATTTTGTCCAACTGTTTTCCTATGGTATGTAGGCTTTGGTTGGTAAAATTGTTTTGTTCAATAACAGGTTTAACCCCTGCATCATCCTTCGGAAGTTTGAATGGTGAGGCTGGGATTTGCGTATTGACCGTGGTGATGAGAATAGTTTCTTGTGGGGGATGACTGGAGGAGACAATTGTCTTGTCTTCCTTAAGCCAATTTTCTTTGGTTATGACCTTTACTTGTTTTTCAGACTCATAATGTTTTTCTACGAAGTCGAAGAAAAATATTTCAAGTCGGTTAGTTTGCATGAAATCTTTCCATGCTTTATGAATTTGTAGTTTTTCTTCAGCAGTATACTTACTTCTGAAGATGTTTCGTCGAGGGACATTTTCTAAGGCTTCTATGTCTTTACAAAGTTTTTTACGATCATATTTAAAAGGTTCTTGTCTGGTTAAGACCAATAATTGGTGATGTACTGGTTCTGCGTCAAAATCAGAAGCAGTTGGGGATGTTTGTTCTTCCTTATTAAGAACAGGTTGG